AAAAAGCTAAGATTACTCCCAATATAGCACGTTAGATGATAATACAATCCGCTTATCCCTTTTTCGCCCAGAGCTTACTCAATACACCCAGTCCCATTATTTTTTAGACAGACCTCGTATATCGATTACGAAAAAAGTGACGTGGAGAAAAACACGTGAGGATTCAGTAGATTCTAATTTTTTTGTCGAACATAAGTGAATTGTTTTACAGTGATCAATTGCTTGTGCCCTGCAATGAACACTCTCTACATCATAGCACCATGACTTGCACTTGTGCCCTGTGTGCCACGTGTTAGATGATCCTACAATCGCTGGTTGTTTTCTTTATATTTTCTTTTTTATACGAGTTGTCCATTGACACCTATAAGCTCATCTGTCCTTGCCAATCCTCTCCAGGTGGGTTTGAATTCAGAATTCTCTTTCTCCTAGACTAATTGCCAAGCAAAGTTAAATATCCGAGTCTGTGCTGCTTGTATTTACTCATAGCTGGGGCGGACAAAAGAGATTGATTCCTACCTTTCCCAAGGGTATTTGTGCTTAAGTGAATTTAACAAACTCGACTGAAATTCGAACTAGAGTCTCCGATTTCTCATTTCGAGCTGTTATTGGTTAATGATTCGTATGAGGCACGGATAACACTTTTTGTCCCATTCCTTCAAGAGTTTTACTTTCAGAAACCGGTTGTAGCAGAAATTTTGTTTTCTAAGATATCCCAGATGCTGTAGTCAAGAGAATTCAGGTCTTTTGATGCTGCTCCAAACTAACATTCTGTTCACTTTTAATGATTTGGCAATATCCTTCGGAGAGGGCTCTGCCTTGTACATTTTTAAAATAGCGATTCTTTTAGTTAGATTGTGCTATACCATAATACCTATTCTATTGTAATGGACTCTCCCACAGATAATAAGTAGTAGTAGCAGTGGCCAGTTGGGCTGAGTGGTGTTGAGTGAGTCAGTCGATATCGGTCATGGAAGTACCAACCATCACAACTAGTTTGCTGCGTCATTAACTCTTATTTCCAAGTTCCTAACGTTTTGTACGTCGAACCTAATTTAGGAAGCCTCCACTGTGAAAACTACTCTACAACAGATTGTTAGCCATTTCCAAATCTAATGCCTGAAATGATAAAAGATAGGTTAGTTCTATTAAATAATTCGTATGACATCGGCTCTCCTATTAACAATTCCGAGCCATTATCCATTACACCACCTGCACATCCAAGCTTACATATCTGATTTTTCCTAGCGATCACCCATTTAAGTAATGACAAGGCTCACGTTTCAATGTGATATGGCCGTAAGCCCAAATTATAGGTATATGCGCATTCTTGTATGTATATTAAATGGCACAACACGCATATACATTACATGCACGGCATTCAATTTCAGTTTGTTTACAGCAGCCTAATCGAGTGGTTTCTTTTTTGGGCCTGGGTCAGGACGTCTAATCTGAGGCTAAATTTTCCTCCTTCAACAAATGCTACACTTTACAAGTCCATGGTACCATTTCCTTTTAGGAATATATCTTTACCATATATAGAAAGAATCTTCAAACCAATCGGCAAACGCACCGACAAAAAACGGATTGTTGTAGATTATATAATAATTATAATTATTTTAAAGACATTTTTTGTTTCTACATTCCTTTTATAGATACAAATATTTAAGTGAATGCTCTGTTTTATAATAAACAGTATTAATAACATTTACTGGCCTGAATGTCCGAGAAATTTTCATAGAAAATATTCGTTTTCCGACAGGAATCGAACCTGTATCCTATACAGAACCGTCATTTAGTCTTACGTGCCTTAACCGATCGAGCCACGGAGAATCTTTCAATTAGCAAGGTCGATTTTACTGTTTTTAACCTTCAATCATCCATGAATCTCTCACGTACATTCATATCTGCTCAAAGCGTATCCAAATGTAAACAAATGATGTCACACATTATGAAATTTTCTATGAAAAATTCTCGGACATTCAGAATGTATAAACATTAAAATGTCGGACTTCGTCCATTTTATAATGGGAAGTGCGAGAGAATAAAAACTTAGCATATGATTTATAGTTGCTACTAACAATTTCAACATTGAAATTATGATACATGGTTGTCAGTGGAGTCAGTAAGTCAGTCAGATATGTGCTGGGCATAATACACGCTTGGGCAATCATGTCTCTTTCGATTCATGGCTGACTAGGCAGAAGATTTTCCTGTAGTAGGCTACCGTTTCTTTCTGAGGTCGACTGGTTGCAAACCAGGGCTATACAACCCAGTCTGTCTTGCGATTCAACCTATAGCTCTGAGTTGGGAGGGAGGGTTGTTGAATTCATATCTTTCCCAGGGGCACTTGCGCGTCTTTGCCAATCTAGTACTGCGATTAAATTAAATTCGTGTAGTCAAGCTACCAACGACGAAAACTAATTAAACAAATTACCTTGAAAATATTTATAGAAGACGCGCCTTTTATTTCGTGGGTGTTTTTCATATTTGTTCTTGTGTTTGAAAGAGTGTGTGTTTGTGTGAGTGCTTGGGATGAATGAATGTTTTATATTATTATAGTCCCGCATTGATTTCGTCCAGTTAACTGATGTTTCTGCCAAATTTAAAGATTGGGGCGGTATTACTAACATTAATTTGTTTAGTTTCTTGTAAATAGATTTGTATTCATACTGTAAATACTCATTGGGACTAGTTTTTAAAATGTTGCTTTATTAAGCACAGACAATGCATTTCCATCTCACTCAGTCTGGACAACCTCTCTACCCTAAGCTGAGCAATAAAATCAGTTATGAAAAAAAAAAGAAAGAAAAGAAAAGAAAAACATACCAGCATCATGTCTGTCAAAATGTTTCTGCTTACATGTGTGAGAAGTTGAGATAAAGTTTTAAGAAGTTAAAAATAATCAGCTTTTGATTCTCTTGCCTACGGGGGGGGAGAACTTTATAATTTTAATCGATAATTATTTCAATCTGTTTTACTCTATTAATATTATCCTATTCATGTCTACGTCGATGTATTCATGTTTATTCATATCTATTTATATCTATTACATATCGATATTAGTCTATTCATGTCTATTTCGATTTATTCATGTCTATCTATATAAGTCTATTCATATCTATTACATATCTATATCAATGGTTTACAACTACATCACGTTGAAACACCGGTCTCCCCGTGCGATCACCAAAATTAAGCACTGTCAACCCTAATAAGTACCTAAATGGGTGACCGCTTGCGAATACCAAGTGCTCTAAGCTTGCATGGGCGGATGGTGTAATGGATAATGGCTCGGAATTGTTAATCAGAGAGCCTAGTATTAATTCCCGTTGATTTCATTATATGCACTTAATTAGTAAGACTTGTATCACTAAATCATTATTATCTAAAAAAAAAAGAATTCTTACAATCGAAAATATTTTCTGGCTTTAAATAACCTGCAAAGAGTTGATAAGCCGTAGAAAACGAATCATTCAATATCAGCCTATTCCTATCTATTTGTAACTAGAACCTGAAAACATAGTGATGTCCAGAAAGGAAATGTTCAGTTAATTATTTCTGACGATAAAATGAATTTAAGCCAAACTTTAAAAAACAAAATTAGTCGCCACAAAAAGTGAATTCAGGTAAAAAAAATAAATAGATAAATAAATAAAAATGGTGCAAGTTAAAAGAGAAGACAAAATGGCATGACTAATTTCTAAGCGAAAAAGTCATTTTTTTTTAATCTAAAAAAATCAGATAATTGTAAGACTTTATTGAACTTTTCCGAAATTGTTAATTACAAGTAAAATTATTCTTTTAAAGTTTCTTTTTAAATTTTGTAGAAATACGTTTTGGTCTGTCACTGAGTTAAAATACACAGGCACACAGTTTTACAGTTTTAATGAAATTGAAACGGATATATGTGTCATAAGAAATAATTCCTTTTTCTTTCTGGCAACAATTCTTGGCTAACAACAGAAGAGTTCTAGCCAAAATGCCTGGTCTTTGAAGGCATTTTTATGCTTCCTCTATTTAAATATAGTATTTTAAATTGTTCTTTGATTGATTAAATTATTTGTTTTTTACAGCATATCAACCCTCGGCGGGATATTTAAAATCGAAACATATTTTGGATTATAAGAATTTTTTTTAGAGTGAATATTACATCGACAATTTTTTTACAATAACTATGATTTCCCCGATACAAGTCCTAACCCATAGCTGGAGAGAGAAGAAGAATCCGTACCTTTCCCAAGGGTGTTTTACGCCTAAGTGAATGCAACTAACTCGACAGGAATTCGAACTCGGCTCTCCGATCTTTCATTCCGAGTCGCTATATATTACACAATCCATACATCCAGTATTTTCAATGAACAAAGAACTTAGATTTGAAATTTGATTATCTTGCCGACAAACACCAAATTAGTTATCTATTAATTTATTTTTCGAAAAATAACTATGATCTAAACTCTATAAATAGAAAGTCACTTCATATCGATCTTAAGGGCCACCTTCCATGGCATTTAAGAGAATCGTGTAAATGGTAATTGCTCCGGGGAGCTGCATTCGCTGGTTCCCAGACTTCATGAATTCAAGCGCCCTACGAGGCTGGCATCCCGCTCTCACCCTTTCACTGTTGAAACTACTAAATGTAGCCGTCTCTTCTACTCCAATAACTTCATATCTCGCACCTCTCGCCTGTGGAACTCCCTTCCCTATTCCAGTTTCCCTGACAGCTATAATCTCCAACTATTCAAATGTAATGTCAATCGACATCTCCAGTTGCCTTGATCCACTATCCTTCTCCTCGTCCTTTCCTCTACCACTCCTATGTGATCTTGCTCCAAATCTTCTGTAACCCCTTGCGTCCTAGTGGCTTCCCGACTTGCTTGGGGTGAAACACTTAAAAAAAAAATGCTTCAAAATAGTTATTTCACACCATTGTTATCTCCTTATTTCTGTTAATTTTTTTTTTTCCAGGTGAGACAGGTTCTGGCAAAAGTTCTTTGATTAATATGCTCCTCGGTGAAAAAGTGTTACCAACTAGTTCTCTTTGCTGTACAGCCACATTTTGTGAAGTTCGTTGCAGTCCTGACGGTTCCAAATACGCCATTGCTCACTTTAAGGACAAGACGAGACGATCGGAACGTATCGATTTGACCACCACAGAAGGAAGTTCCAGGTTTATTAGCTACATCCAGTTACCCGACGACCCGGAAGTAGATTGCCAAAGCTCTTATGTCCAAATTTATTGGCCATCTGATATATTAAAGGCAAGAAAACATTTCGTTACTCTTTGCAGGTTTTTTAAAGACCCGTCTTTCGAACAGGAGTAGAGGTTTATCCATTGTTTCCTGTTTAGAATTGTGTTTCCGGTTATTTCCAAAGTCTTCTCACTCTCTTTCACTCCCAGTAACCACTAGCATTTTAGTGATATTATCACCTTGCTTAGGGTGAAATGATTAAAAACCTGTTTTTTTTTTTCGTGTACTGAGGGCGATAGAAGTAATACACACAGCTTAAAAAATAAAAAGAAACGGGCGTCTATTTCAAACACGAATATCTACTAAAAAGTAATATATATATATATACATACTAAAAATAAATAAGTATTTGTTCCTCACCGTTTGGTACAACGCTGAGTTTTACGCGTGCGACAATCACGCTCACATACATTAGGCTCAATCTGAAAGTAATACGCCCTATTTTATTATGTCGCAAATGTTCGTAGTGTGCCACTCAGCTGCACCTTCCCGCCAGTAATCCATTTTCTCTTTTGTTACAGATTGCAATTTGGCAAAATGGCGTCTGACATGAAAGCGCCTACGCGGTAGAGGTGCGCCATTGAATTCCTTCATGTGAAAAAAAATCACCCATAGACATTCATCGATGTTTGCTGAATGTTTACGGAAATCAAACAGTGGATATAAGCACAGTTAGACGGTGGGTAGTGCATTTCATCAGTGGTAACAACGACACGGGTGGTAGGCGGTATTTACGAACGTCACATGCGGGCGCTTGTTCATCGCCAGTAAAAATGCATAGTCGTTGATAGTGGCAATATAGAAAAATAGTGTTTTGTTGATGAAAATTTGCTCTAACCCACGATGTTATTATTGTTCATCCTGTAATTTATCCTCTTGTAGTTGCCGTTGAAATAAAAGAGAGGTACGACTTTCGAAAGCACACCTCTCGTATACGCGTGCATACGTGTATCTATCGTTAAATTTTAAACAGTTTTTATTAAAAGCCACAGACAAGAAAGTCTGCTTTTAATCATTTGATACAAGCAAGGCAATAAAGCCACTAAGACGCAAGCGGTTACTGGGTGTTAGTCAATATAAGAAAAATATACTATTAAGGAGAGAGGTTAATAAAAGAACAAGAATTAAGAAGACAGAGGATAACGTTTGGCATTGCATTTAAATTTTTGAAGATCAAAAGTTGACTGGGAAACAAGAAGCCGAAAGAGAGTTCCTCATGCGAGAAGTGCAATAGAAGAAATTGTTAGCATAGAACTTACAGTTACCTCTAACCATTTCAACTGTAAAGTGATGGGATCTTGTTGCCTATCTAGTACTACGCTTAAATTCATAAAGTTAAGTAGCATAAAGAAATGTTCATCAGAACAATCACCATGGAAGTATTTATAGAAAAAGCACAGGGATTCTACGGCGGTGGGAAAGTGACTGAAGTCAATATATCAGGTCTTAATGGTGACATAAAAAAAAACACTTATTCTCAAAATCAGGGGGAAAAAACAGCTGAAATTTCTTCGACGCATAATGAGGAAGGACAGCTTAGAAAACTTAACCCTCACGGCAAGAGATATGGAAAGGCAGCCTGTCAATTAACTGACGAGTTTGTGTGAATGGATGGCAGAACGAGTGGGCCGGGGATAATGGAGAAAAATCTACTAAGTGCTACACGAGATAGAATGTTATGGAGAGCTATGATCACCTATGTCCTGAAGGGACGCGGAAGATAAAAGGAAAAGAAAGGATTTTCGCTAGTGTTCGTATATATTTGGTTCCAGTCTGTGTAAACATTCGTGTAAGTTTGAGCTCTTTCAACCACTATCGTTCTTTTTCTATCAACTCCTTATGGGTTTTTAATGCCGAAATTTAATTTTCTTGCGAGCGTGGAAGTAACAAAAATATGATATATGTTATTCTGATTTCACAATTGAATACATGGTAGATGATACCCAGCCTTTGTGCATATACATGTCAAAGCGAACAGAATTACTAGAGACGATGATATTTGTATTTTATGTTGTAGTTTTGTTGAAGTTATATTTTACAATACAGCGTGATTTCTTTAAGAAATTGTAGGCTATTATATGGATTAATGTCATGAAACGTTCTTTCTTGTTAGTTATTTTGTGATTTCGTTTAGCGGTATATCAAGCTCTATGGGTTATTTAATGCCGAAATCTAACTATTTTGAACGCAACTGTATGCCTTCAAGTACAGATAAAATGTATTATTGGTCATTTTGCTATAAAATGTTTTATAGATCATTCTGCTATAAATATGTATTGCTGGTAATTTTACTATAAAAATGTATTTTTATTCTTTCATAATGATTTTTTGGGGGTGGGGGAGTTCACTATTTGCCCATAGCTGGGACCCTAACAGGAGCTACCACCTCGGATCAGGGTAAACCTTGGAGTAACAGCAACTAAGAGGTCGTTCAACGCTCCTCAAAACCTCCACCCTCCTAGTCAGAGGTCTTGTTGCCGGATGTAGTTTATCGTCATTCCCAGGACTACATTGTTCTTTTTCAAGAGCAGAATATATTATGGTGTTAAAATTCAAGAACCTTTGATGTACTGTTTTTTTTTTTATTGGCGTTTGGTGTGAGAATGTTATTTTTAAACTATGTTTATGTTGTCATATGCGAGCCGCCTTCAATTAATTTAAAGACGTTTGCCGTGTGGAGATGTTATATCTATATATCTGACTAGACTATATCTGATCTTCTGATTGAATTTCAAATGACAGTCTCTCAGTTGTTCATGAACGACTGGTTTCAATGATCAAATGCCAGTCATTTGCACAATTCCTGATGAATATGACCTTCCTACCCAGTCGTGTCTACTATTGTACATTTTATGAGCTAATTTTACTACATTCGATCGAACTAGTAGATAAATTTAACAGCCTATTTTTTTTAATTTAGGGTGTGAATATTAAATAATTCATACATTTTTTAAATACATTTTTTTGATTTTTTTTTTTTTTTTTTGTCATTTTACTCTAAATAAGGCAATAAAGCCACTGGGACGCAAGGGGAAACAGAGAGTGAAAGAAAAAGCGATAACAATTAAAGAACAGGACTCAAGGAGACGGAAGATGACAATTGATATTGCATTTTTAAGCCTTGACGCTAATGGGTTTTGTGAGTTGTGATCTTACCGCATTTGTAACTTGCAGAAATCTCTTGCGGCTTCCTGCCAACCACGATCTTCAGAAATTTAAATGCAATGTCAGTCGTCATCTTCTGTCTCCTTGAGTCCTGTTCTTTAATTGTTATCGCTTTTTCTTTCACTCTCTGTGTCCCCTTGCGTCCCAGTGGCTTTATTGCCCTATTTAGAGAGAAATGACTGAAAAAAAATCAAAAGAAAAAAACCCTTGCCCATTCCAATTTCTGCGCCTATACCCATCAACCGTAAACATTTGTAAATTAATAAACTACGATTTGAAATTGTAAGTAATATTTTTCTGTATTTTAAGAATGTATGAATTATTTAATATTCACACCCTAAATTTTAAAAAATAGGCTGTTAAATTTATCTGCTAGTTCAATCGAATATAGCCAAATTAGCTCATAAAATGTACAATAGTAGCAAGCTATAAATTTGTTAGGTGTGCACAAAAGGTACCAGTGAAAAACAGGTTTTCAACAATGTCTAGTTTTCCAAAATATACACTGGGAAATTGTGCACAGATTTAATACTATTTCAAGCAAAGAATCGTAAGAAACGTCATACATATTATAGATTGGTAGAAATAAGTGTATAAATATTTACTAACATTAGCTTAGGTTAGCACAAGATTATAAATTGAGAATCAGATAGAGATGATCAAACTCACAGATGTATTAATATAGAGATTATTGTTATTATTACATTTTCTCATCAGAAGTATTAGCAAGTTTTCTCAAATCTCCAGCACTACTCTCAGTATTTTCCTATATTTCAGTAGTGTCGTGGTTTAAATCATTGCATTTCTTCTTTGAATCACTGTTTTTCTATTTACTTTGCAAGGATCTTTGTGGCTGTTCCCAAAACACCAAATATTATGAGCACTGATTTTACTATCCTATTCTTAATTTTCACAACTGAATCCATATACATGGAGTTATTCGACCTTAACTAAATAGTACAGAACTAAAACTACCTCAGTTGAAGATTAACTATGGACTTCGGTAGTTGGTAGGTTCCTTTCTTCACAACACTAATGCAAACAATAAACTGATCAAATGAAGCTGTAAAACTGCGTACACATCTTTACAAATGTTTCAGTGTAACACTCCCATGCAGTCTGTTAACGTTACGGAAGGTCATATATAGATATGTGAGAGAGACTGTTAAAACACAAACACTCTGACCAGTTTAAGATGTCTTATTATAATCTTGCATTGCGTACTAAGAGACAATTTGCACCTGTATCCATTCAAAGTAAAAAAAAAAAAAAGTTACAGATGGCATCAACAGTGCTTAAATTATTCAGCTCAACGATATTGAATTTGTTCATTAGCTGAGTCTTTTCCATTTGAATGGATTTTTCTTCAGTTGGGAATTTCCCTGTGCTAATTGACATTCTGAAAAAACAAATAAATAAAAAGTATGAAAAATATGACATTTTTGAGACACGCTCCATATAATGTATATGAAAAAGTATTAAAATATCTACCGCTATGCTATTTTTCACGCTTTATTCACATTCAGAATAATGCCAGTTGAAGTTTCAATAAATTTATTATACTATTCAGTTTTGCTATATATTTCACCGGAGTGGCTATACCGACTGTCTAATACATTTTTTTCTTTGTTTACGCTAGTTTTATTTATTTTTATGATCTAGATGAAATAGTTTCAATGTCTCGAAATATTTGACGTTATTTTCTTTTTTGTAGTTGTAGTATTTGGACATCATATGCTTTGTGCTTATAAGACTTGTTTGTGCAGAACTTTCGAGAGAAAATCGGTTTTCAAAATCAAGTTTTTAAAACAGAAGGCTTTGCACACACCTAATATAATGTGTGC